CCCCTATACCACCCCTGTACCCCCCCCTCATCCCCAAAAGTTTCTCAGCGGATTTGGGCTGTACTCAGCAAGCGCACTACAGCCCACAAGTCAGATCTTAAAAAAATAAAATAAAATCAGTGGATGGCTGTTTTCTGACTGGTTGGCAGACCGCTGACCGGTCGGCCCTACTGGTCGGCTGCAAAACGGTCGGAAGTCGGCAGGTATGCATCAGACATAACTTATCTGTACAACAAAGGAAGAAAGAAAGAAAGGAAGAAAGAAAAAAGTTGTGAGCTGAACAGTATTGTCAATATGTCACCCTTGCAGAAAAAAACTCCAAAAGCATTTGAAAAACACAGACAGAAAACATGCAAAAAAACGAACACACTCGACAGCTTTCCCTGTGACCAGGTCAACAAACATGAGAACCGGAATCATTGGAGACCTTGGGAGAGGATCTCGGGAGCCCGGGAGCCCCGGCTGTGTGGCCGGCAGCAGTGTATGCTGCAAAAGCGAGAAAACCAATTCGCTGACAACGAGGTAGGCGATGTCCCAGCAAAGTCCTACCCTGTTCGCAATTTAAGCTCACCATGAAAATGTCGAATTCATCCATTGCACGGAAAGGTGCTTCCACCAGCTCGTGGAGGGTCAATGCATATGCCAATGTTGCGAAAGATCGCTCTCCACCTTCAATATGCCCGACAAAAAACGAAAACAAAAGGGAAACAACAACAACAACAAAAAAAAAAAAAAAAAAAGTCAACCACACATTCAGTACACGGCAGACATAACTTATCTGTACAACAAAGGAAGAAAGTGTTACGATCCTGGTCATTTCCCAAGTGCAAATTCACAATGAAAGACAATGCCACCCAATTGCGAAAGAAATGAAAGCACTTGCAAAGAGATAAAGACCAGAGGAGAGGTAAAGAAGAAGAAGAAGAAGAAGAAGAAGAAGAAGAAGAAGAACACCAGCAAGACCAATGACAATTCCCCCCTTCACTCTCCACCTTCCTCCTTCCTCCTCCTCTTCACCAATCTTATTCTTCTCTCAATAATAATAATAACGATGAATGGATGAACCAGAGTCAATGTCCGAAGTTCCCTCTTACTGCTGACTCAACTCACAACAATCAACAACAACAACAATTCCACCATGGCTATGGCTTCCCTCCTTCAACCTCCTCTCTCATGCATAGGCCATGGCGGACTACTGGGAGGCAGCTATAGTGCTGCGCTGATGTCCGAAAGACAACCCACGCAGCTATGCCGCTGCTGACTTGGTCCGCTATGCCTGACTCTGCCTCGAGCTGCCCTGGTGCAGCGCTACCCCAACTGGGGCCTTCCAGATGCAGCGCCCAACAAGGTGATGAAGACCGTGTCCACCATAGCCAGGTAAGTGCCCTACCACTCTCCTACCATGCCCCCTTCTTCCTCCTCCTCAAGCTGGGGTGCTCGCCATAGCCAGGCTGAGCCCCAGCGGACCTTCACCTTCCAGCAGCGCTGCTTCAGTCCAGCGCTGCGCTCCAGCAGCATGTCGTCAATCCTTGCATACCGCAAATGAGGAAGAGCTCTCCGCTCTTCCTGAAGATACAGCGGCCTACCGGCCTCCTGGGCTGTGACTTCCTACGCCAAGCGGCCTCCCAGCAACCGGTACCTCCTCCCTTTTGGAGGGAAACATCACTGCAGGCTCTGTTATTGTCCGCACAGGCCCTAGACCCGGGCTACTTGGACTGCTACCGGCCTAACTCTAACCTACCGCTACTGGGCCTCTAAAATGCCAACTTTTTGTCTTCTTCTGCTCGGCCTACCTGCTACTTGAGTGTTTTTCCCCAGCTGCTCTAAGTGCCGTGGGCCTACTCCCCGCTACCGGCATGTTTACCCCCCTGCAACCCTTCAAAGTCACGGCCACAGGTAAGTACCGGCCCGGTGGGCCTTGCAACCAACAAGTACCCTTGCGGGTCACACACACATACCCAACCCGCAAGCACTCAGACAGGCACGCATACACACACAACCGGCAAGCACTCAGACAGGCATGCAAACCAGCAGGCACGCATACACACAGACTTGGGGCCACAGCAGAATGCGGGAATCACAGCAAGGCATTCATTCCATTGGCAAATCCCAGAAATCAGCAGTGTTCCCAGTCTGTGTTTTTGGCGGGTCATTACATTACTCCCCTCTCGAGAGCGAGGTCCCTTCGAGCGAGTAACTCAGTCAGAGTCGGTACAGAACGCATCGTAGGAGTACATCAGAAAGAGAGACTTGGTCAATCCATGAGAAGTCATTGTTGCTACGAACTTAGCGGTCACCCCTCGGTGATCTGTCTTTCGTAAGCGTTCACAACACGGGGAGCACTTTTTAGCAGCTCTTTCCGGTCGATCCAGAAGAATTCAGTCAATGGGTGATAGAGGAAGTGAACCTTATACTGTCTATTCCTCCCTCTGCCCTCGTGAGATACGATTCTGTCTATCTCATGGCCGCCGTCGATAGGGCTAGGTATCATAGGATCTCGGAAGGGAAACGTCTCATCATCAATGTGTGGGAACAGTTTGGACGCATGAAAGACCGGTTACGTGCGCAGATGAGGAGGCACGTCAATCACAAATGGAGGACCAAAATCATACCCGACTACCTTCAGAATCTGCCAAGGGCCGTAGTATAATGGAAGAAGCTTCCGTGAGATGCCCTCTTCGTCAGAAAATTCAGACATTTTGACCCAAACATAATCCCCAACTTTGAATTTTTCCTCTTTGTGCAGCTTGTTAGCATGTTTGATCATGGCATGCTGGCGCTTGTTCATGGCTGCAGTAGCAGCTTTGAGCAAGCGTGCGTATTTGGCATTATAGCCAGGCATGCCGGGCATCAGACCAGGTGACCGCTCGGGGAACAGATAGGAGACGGGATTGCGCATCGGCCATCCATACTGCAGCTGGTTTGGGGTCACACCAGTTGCAGAGTGAATGGAGTTGTTGTACAGCCCCTTCACTTTGTGTAATTCCTTGTCCCACGTGTTCTGATCTGGAACAATCAGTGCGCGTAGCAGTTGGATGACGGTCTGGTTGATCTCCTCGGCCAATCCGTTGGCTTCGGGGTGTCGACCAGAAGTCCTGTTCAGTTTGATGTCATAGATCTGAGACGTGAAGTTTTTCCAATCTTTGCTGATGAATCTGGTGTCCCGATCGCTCACAATGGTTTTCGGGACGCCGGACTGCAGAATGTACTGCTGATGGAATTCCTCGATGACAAGTTCAGTCGGGGCATGAGGAGGGAGAGGAATAAAGTTCAAAAATTTGGAGAAGCGGTCCACAATGACCATGACTTGTGAATTCCCAGCCTCACTCACCTTTCCCATGTCCGTGAAGTCGATGGAAATCAACTCAACGGTCCATCAGGAATGGGGAGAGGTCTCAGTAGGCCGTAAGGCTTATGCCAATGAACCTTGATTCTTTGGCATACCTGACATTTAACAATGAATTTTTGAGCAGATCCTTTCATTCCTGGCCAATCAAATTGCTACAGAAGACTTCCATAAGTCTTCTCAAAGCCAAAATGTCCACTCCGACCATGCGCCAAATCCAAGAAATGAGTTCGGAGAGGCGCATGGTTGGGTACACACAAATGATCGAACTTTCCATATCGGCGGAACACAAGACCCTCGCATTTGTGAAAATCAGGTTGACTGTTAGGGTCAGCCTTGAGCTGCTCAAGGATGGGACCGAGGTCCGGATCCTTGGCGGTGTGTTCAATCAGATCCTCCTTCAATTTCCTTCAGAGGTCGTCGGAACCCACAAGGCAAGTCAAATACTCGGGATGGCGCGACAAAGCATCAGCGACACGGTTATAACAACCTTTCTTATGTTTCAACTCAAAACTGTAGACATCAATGTTATGCAACCAGCGGGTCAATGTAGGAGAGAGTTCAGATTGTGTCTGAATCCACTTCAAGGTCTGATGATCAGAGTACACCTTGAAGTGGCGACCCAAGAGGTAGTGCTTCCAATGTGCGAGGGCTTCGCGCAGGGCGTAAAGCTCACGCATATACGTGGAAGTAGCTACCTTGTGGCTGGGCATGCGTTTGCTGTAATACTCGAGCGGACGCAGGCCATCACCATTATCTTGTTGCAGCACTGCACCAATCCCGAACTGGCTCGCATCCGTAGTAACTACGAACGTGAGGTTGGGGTCTGCAATGCGAAGCATAGGATGACTCACCAATGCCTTTTTCAAGGCTTGGAACGCAGACTCACACTTCTCACACCATGCATAGGCAACATTCTTGCCGGTTAGTCTTGAGAGCCGGTGAGCAATAATAGAAAATCTGGGTACAAACTTCCGGTAATAAGAAGCCAAATCGAGAAAAGAACGCAGTTCACGTAGGTTCGCTGGTTGAGGCCAGTTTTGAATGACCTCAACCTTGGTTGCCTCCGGCTCAAGGCCGTTTGCAGACAACCAGTGCCCGAGATAGATGACACTGTCCCTACCACACTCAGATTTTTCCAAGTTGAGGTGCAGTTGAGCTTCTTTGAGGACTTGCAAAACCTCCTCAAGATGCTTGACGTGCTCATCCATGGACTTGCTGAAAATCAGAATGTCATCAAGATACACAACCACAAACCTGTTAAGCTGATGGCGGAGTACCTTGTCCATGAGGCACTGAAATGTGGCTGGTGCATTCGTCAGACCGAAGGGCATAACGATGAATTTGAATGCAGTTTTGTGCTGGTCGCTCAGATCAACTTCAATCTGGTGGTAGCCAGACTTGAGGTCGATCTAGGAGAAGACTTAAACCACCGACCGCATCTAATAGATCATCTATACGAGGCAAAGGGTAGGCATTCGTCCTTGTGATTCGATTCAAGCCACGATAATCAATGCACATCCAGAGTTTGCCTCCTTTCTTCGGCACAAACAAGACAGGTGCGCCAAATTCAAACTCGCTAGGCCTAATCCATCCACGATCAATCATGTCATCGATTTGTCTCCGCAGCTCCTCCAACTCGCCTTGTCCCATGCGGTAGACGCAACCCTTTGGAGGAACACTCCCTTCTATTATCTCGATTTTGTGCTTGACTGGACGCTCCGGAACTCCGCGAGGTTCAGCCAACACTTCAGGAAATCGATCTAATAGATAGCGAATGTTTGTTGGGATTTCCGGTGGAGGATCATCCTCATCAGGAGAAAGAAAATCAGATTGGGAATTTACAGCAATTACAACTGGCTTTGAAGCATTCGGATCAGAAGTGGGTTTAATTATTCACAGTAGAAGTAGGTGGAACAGAAGTAGTAGTAGAAGAGGTAAAGTTACCTTAAGAGGTAGAAAATGCAGCAAAAGTAGAAGGCACATGGAGAGGCTTTACAAGAGCTATATGCACAAACTCAGCTTCCTTGTGCCTGCGCACTGACCTGCAGAATTTGTTTGCACTTAGAAGAGTCACAAGGGACTCGCGCGTCTCGTCTAGTAAGACGGTACGCTCGTTCCCCTTGGGATCAAGTACCACGAACTGATTGTCTGCCCACTTGGTCCTTAGGCAATGAGCCTTTAGCCAGCCCAAGCCAATGACCGCGTCAAAAGGACACTTGTCCAAGACATAAAAATTTAGCTCATGTGTGACAGTGCGATCTTTGTCAAAGGTGATGGCACACCTTTGACAGCATGAGTGGAACTGACAACCTCTTGGTTGCCCACCTGAGTCCGGCAAGGGTTCTGCAGTTCCACTTGCTTCATACCCAGGCCCGCATTGCGAATCCCGTTCGGAGAGAAGAAATTGGTGGTCGAACCACTGTCAATCAGCACACGGATGTATCGGCGGTTAATGAGCAGTTTAAAGAAAGTCAGCTTCACGCTCCCCTGAACACGGCGTTCCTGCTTGAGCTGCAGCCAATTCTCCATGTGGGCGTGGAGGTCAACTTTTCTAGACTCCTCCCAAGGCTCAGTGTATAACACTTGGACTGCACCAGCCTCGGAGTCARCATTAGTTCGGGCTTCAAGAGCAAGCTACTGATCAGATCCAGGCTCCTCGGAAGGGCCTGCAGCTGACTGCTCAGCTTCCCTTGTCGTAGAGAGTGTTGATGTCTTTTCTACGCCCCTTGCCTGTTTCCCTGAAGACGATAGCAATCCTGCACAGCATGCCCAGACTTTTGACAATGCAAGCATACGCGCAGTTTGGATCTTCTTTCCCATTTCTTTTGAGTGATGCGGAGGGCTTCCCAAGGCTTGGTAGAAGCGTCCTCCGGTTTCTCAGGGATCTTAGCATTTTTGGGAAGGTGTATGACAGTTCCCTTACTTGAACCACGGTTAGGCCCCTTATTTGAAGCAGTCATTCTGAATGCATTAAGTTTCTCATCATCATTTCTGTCACACTCAATGGCTGATGTGGAACAGCCTGTATCGAAGTCCGGCTCTAGATCGTCATCTAGAGACAGATCATCCGCATAGGACTGATCTTCAGCCTCCCGATGATCATGCAGTGCAAGCTGGTTGCTGCTTCCAAACCGCTTGCGTTGTGGTTTCCCACCTGCAGCGGGCGCCTTCTTGCGCCTGGCGAGGTCCTTGGCCTCTAGGTCGACTAGGTCCTTCATGAGCTCTCGCCAGGTGGCATGGTCCTTGAGTGCTGCACGATGCGGCGCACGTGCGCAAGTGCCGCGCACGACATGCGCCGCAAGTATGGTTCATATCCTTCACAATATATCACACAAATAAATCTGGCAATGGTCGTCCGCCGAGCGAACATAGTGAGTCCTAAAATGACTCTGGTGCAGGGAATGTGAGGCCCATTTTTTGTTGTTCGAAGAGCTTCCTAGAGTTGAGTGCACAAGTGAGTTAATGAGAATATATGTTGTAAAACACAGGGAAACAAAAACAGAGGAAAAAAAAAAGAAGAGGACAAACAAAAACTTGAAAAAGGACAATAGCAGTAACAGGCAGAGGTCTTTCTTTCCACTCCAGCTGGGCTGAAACAACAAGGTAGAGAGAGGAGTCAGCATAGAAACGAACCAGAGAGAGCCTTCGTGTCCCTTGCACTGTTGGCATTACCAGGCATTTGAACCTGCACAGATTGATCACAATCCAAAGGCAAGAAGATTACATGGACACAGACTCACAGACAGATGCAAAAAGCAGAAGCACACATGAACCTCAAAGTTTGTAGCTCTACGATGTGCATTCTAGGGTTTTAGGAGCAGGCTCTGGTGGACTTTGTATTGGACAGGAGAAAGACGATTAGGTGGAAACACACACGTATATATTTAGGTAAATAGATGTTAGAATAGTAAAAACATAAGCTTGTAATACAGCAACACCTGAAGATAAACGGTTGTGGCGAGGCGGTCGAAAAACGTGTCAGGTCTTTTGCCACAGGACTTCATAGTTATGGCGCTATGCAGCGTATGCGCCATCTTTTGACTCTGGGCTGGTGCTCTATTGTAATTCTTTCGAGCCTACTTGCGCTCGGGGGTTGTGTCCTCATCTTGCAGTCTATTCCCCCTCCTCCTGTTTCGTCTCGAGCCGTGTTTACATGGTCTGTTTGTCCTGTCTTGCTTGCTATTGCTTCATCCATCCAGCAACACGTAACTCTTAACCACCAGTAAATGTGAAAACAATGAGAAAAGCTGCAAAGACATCCATCCTAAGCAAAGACGCCCCCCTAAACACATATGCCTCCCATAGACAACAAGCAACGACGAAACCCTCCTGAAGCGACCGACCTCGCCGATCAGATTTTAGTTTTGACCTGGGCTACCAGAGTGGCCCGGGACCACTTGCCCGGCCCGGCCAAAAAAGAATTAAAAAATAAAAATAAAAATAAATACTTTTTCATTTATTTTTTAGTTTAAAATTGGTAAAGAATTTCGATGTGACCTAGGAAGATTCTCACGCCCGGCCGGGCACCCAGGCGTGATGCCTGGGTTACCCGGGTGTGCCAAAAAAAAAAAAAAAAAAAAAGATTTTTTGTTTGTTTTATTTTTGGTTTTCTGCGCTCTACCAGAGGACTCCAAATACGGGCTCATTTCGTTTTTTGC